CACCCGGGAGAAGCTTGATCGACTCTCCTCCTCCGTGGGTGCCGGAGTGTGAGAAAAGGGAATGAGGCGAGCACGAGGGAGGAGGTATCCCAGAAACCAGTTTGTACGTTTCGAAGACGAGGCGCATCGTTCTTAAAAGTACGGCCACTCGGGCCGCTTGTGGATTCGCGTTTAACACCGGGAGGCACCCATGGTGTTGCATTGTTGGCTCGGCCGGCCTTTTAGGATCGTTGGATTGCATTTCTTCCGTTCTTAATTGATAGCTCTTCCCACGAGTGTTGTTACGTATAACCGGCTATTAGTTACGGGCAACGGTTTACGCGATATCGAAGGATCTATTCGCAAATTTTCCAATCGCCCTCCGTTTCGTTCCGCACGGAACTACTTCGTTAAACGATGATCCATCGGATGGAATAAAAGATAAAGCGTCGAGTATATAATGTACTCCATGTTCATTGCCTCTCAATTGATCTAAGATCTATCGCCAATATTTCCCATTTACATTCAAATTTCCGTGCGAAAGAACGGTTCAAAGCGAAACCTCGTTTATATCCGGTAAACGGATTCATCGCGCGAAATACGCCTAGATTAAAGTTACATACGGCAGACCGATCCACCTCTGAACATCGCAAAACCGATTTTTACCAGTCCAGTTAACCAGGACTCGGCCCGGTAATTGACATTCACGATATTTTCCAAGCCGCAACGGACCCGTGGAAACGTTCCCGCCTCGACGTTCGATAATTTTCCTCCTACGTTCGCGCCGCTCGCATGAATCATTCGTTCACGAGCAAAAGACCAAGGTGTACATGCACGCATTACACGTTCATGCTCTAGCGCGGGTGAAAGTTGTGATATATCCGTTATAATTTCGTACGGTTGGCGTATTGCTTCCGTACGTAGGAACCATTTGTTCCGGAAAATGGCGCAATTTTGTCTCCCCCGCATGCGGGGGAGAACAAGCGCAATACCTTCGTGGATATAATTTAAACAAGGGCTCTTTATGTAACACGGTCTATTTATTTGGGCATACCTACGCTTGTCCGCCGTATACAATACCCATGCGAAACGTCACACAATTTCTGTTAAACGTCCTCGCCTCTAATGGACGTGTCGACTCGCGTGCGGCTTCGCAGAAATGTATTATATTTTGCGGCTTTGGCCAGAGACAATGCTCGATTTAACCGACAATCGGTGATATATACGATAAAAAATTTTCGCGTTTCTACGCGAGGCTTCCACGTTTCGAACGAACGGATTAAATGCGACTGATATTTTATCGATGTTCCCTCGGTTTACGAAGAGGGAAATAATATTATTTATTGGCAATTATCGAGTATGTTAAATATAATTCGTAAAAGATTGCACGAATGATAAAATAATGAATGTAATTGGCGCGAAACGTTGCGAATACTTCGAAACAAGAAAGATCATATCTTTTATAAAATTTTCTTCGTGTTATGAATTTATAAATCATTATTTTATTCTATTCGTTAAGTATATATAGTTCGAGTCGCAGATCACCGACGTAGCATTTTCGTATTGCCAAGAAATTTGAACAATAAAGTCGGTGCTCTTCCCTGCCCCACCATTGGCTCACACTCGCAATTTCATAAATCGTATGCGACTAAATTGCACGGAAACGCCGACACACGAAATCGGCACGTTCGGCACAAGAGTACTTTCTTCGTCATTCCGGCCAAACTGACGTACGAATCTTCTCCCGCTCACCAGTCCGGCCCTCTTTCTCTCTTTTCCCTTTTCCCTTTTCCCTCTTTTTCCATCCCAGGAGAACCCTCGTCTCGGAAAATTCGATTTCAAGGATTTGCTGGCGACAGACACGAATACACGTCTTTCACGGCATAGTGCAGCATGAGCCGGGATGGTGCTCTTATACAGCTCTTATACAAAAGCTATTGCAACACTTCGTCAACGACGATACATCTATACGTAATACACACCCGAAAACTAAATCGTTACGTATTATATTTTCTTATTTTTACCATGTTAAAATAAAATTTTGCCTTCTGTTGTCTAGGTTAATATTTCATAATTAGATTTAAAATGTCGAATATTTGAGAATACTTATCATTTGGAAAATATTATTCGATAATATTCATTGCCTACCATAATTATAAAAGTTAAAAATCCAAAAAGAAAATAATCACGAATTTATACAACTGGTATCGGAACGATAAAATCGCTCCAGGATATGCAAAAATATATTCTACACGACCTCGATTTTGCGTTAAAATTATTCTCGAATTGCACATATTTGGATCGCATGGGGATTCTATTATCAATCGGAACGATATATTCCCCAAGTTTAATATACCAACCCGGTTGACAGTTACAGAAATTAGTTACGCCAACGTAATTTGTCAAAAAAATTACCGGAACGAAGAAATGATTCGCTAACAAGGTTAAATATGATACGCATTTTGCTAGTCAAGCAATGCTTCCATGCTATAACATTGCTTTTATTACGCAAAAATATAAAACAAACAGACGATTAAATCTATTGTTACGCTGCAAATATTGATCCGCATTTCATTTGTTCAATTTGCAGCTACGTATAATATATAGAAAACTAACAAAAGAATAATTAAAAATAAATAATTTATTAATCAAATATAACTCACCCTCGATCGTCGTGTAGCAATTCCACGGAAGATTAAAATTGACCACTGAAGAGAATTGAAAAAACTATGAAAAAATTGAAATCACCGAGGACACGAGTTTTCTGATCCTGGAAGAGTGCGTGAGTGCGTGCGTGCGTGTCTAAGGTTCCTTTCGTGGCGTGTGGCGTGAGAATTCTTTTTCGGTGTTCGCGAAACGAGGTAAAAAGTAGACGATGAGATTGGCCAAATCCACCACTCACGGTTGCCAAGGTCTGTTTCTCTGGTCCTTTCTCCCCTCAGGTTTCCCTTTTTTTCTTTAATTGCCCTCTTTAATATGCGAAACGGCACACGAATTTCAATGGGTTCGCGTGATTATTAATTAAGACGTTCCTTTCGAATCGAATCGAATGATGTATGTACACTGTAAGGTGATCAGGATATCGAACCGATGATTGGTTATGCAGAACGAATATCTCCTTCTGAACTTGGTCTTAATTAATTATCTATTCGAATAATCGACGTTTACTTTGTCCGCCAAAATGCACGTTTAGCAACTTTCCAACATGGATGCCAATGAACACTGACCGAAATTCTTCGATTAATCAACTTAAAGAAAAGTCAGTAGAGAAGAACTTTTTATCCAACGAAAAACCACGCGACGCCCGTATTACGATACACAATTGCACAACCTCGATGGATAGAATTATTTTCGTAAACGGATGATTTCCAAATCGTACACTCGTTTCGAACACGTCACTTAAACAATGTGAATAATGTACTGGCGTTATTCGATATTTGAATCGATATATACTTCAAATCGATTGCGATAAGCAGCTGACGTCAGGTAATATGGCAGCCACGCGGTCGATGATCAGTCGGTAAACCTCTGAAAAACACGCTTACACGGTCAAATTCGCAGGAAATATTTATCAACATGAAATATCAATTTACGTAGTATCATCGGTTTCGACGAATTTGTCAGAAGTAAACTGATCTTTCCTCTTTTTTCTAATTAATACCTCTACCTAATGATACGCAGTACACAATGATGTCATTTGTTATTCAAGCAATGTTGACATTCGGTTAATGGACGTTAGAAGGAATTTGCGTATAAAGAAATGGGAACAATCAGTGTTCGCGAACATTCTTTCATATATTTTGCGTATGTAACAATCGATCCTCTTATATGCATTAATTTATCGATGATTCCAATTTTATCGTTCGCACTTGTGTTTTTCAGTAGTATCGATTGTCGTCTTCAACGTAGTAATTCCAATCAAGACTCTAATCTTTTGAGGCTGTTAATCAAACGACGAACTCTAGATTCTGAATCGACGTCAGTGATTGACTCTGCGTAGAGAAACAAGGATATCTGTCCGCACATACGTCGGATTAATTACTCCAGCGGTTAGTCGGTACACTACGCTCACTCGTGGCCAAGTTACCGGTATATATACGGGTACATCGGCCTCCAATTGCAGTTACTCGTGGGTGATGCACCGCAGGACGCATCTCGAAACCCACACGCAGACGGTAACCCCGAAGCTCGCACTAGAAACACCCTCGGTAGCACTCCAGAGTACTCGATCGCACTCACGTCGACGGATCATGATGTTGCCAACGAGCACTGATTCAATGTAAACACACACACGTACACGGTTACACACATGTATACGTAGACGTATATATATGCGCACACTGTAGTTGTGTCACAAATCCGAACAACGTTGTCGTCAAAATTAGTTACTAATCATGTTTCGATCGATTCCAGAAGACAATTTCAATCGACGACACTTCTCGTAAAATATTACACACAATAATACGCCGTTCCAACCAGAGGAATTCACGTGCACACTTGGTCCTAGTCATATACGGATCGATTCGATCGATATTTTAGGTTAATTTTCCGTATTAACATCGCGCGCGATTGTAGTCCACCATATTGTATCGCACTTACCGATAGGCGATTCGAAACCATCGGGACGAGATTACTATAAATATCGATTCTCGATTAAGGTGGATAACCTCGAAATTGCAATTCGATACTTCTCAGTCGAGATTGATTTCGCTCGTGAAACGCATCGTAAGAGATAGAGACCGATGAATGTCACTAGTTGACAGTTTCGCGAACTGTACACGCGGCCGTAAATGATCGTCGAAATTTACACGCGAAATTGGTCGTGTGGACCACCGTGATCCGGCCTCGGAACACACGCTCGTTGAACTGTCGTTCCGAGCAGCTCGGCCCGCGGTTTAGTATCAACGTTCGTTCTTGGCTGGCGTCGCGCCCCTCCCGGGACGCCGGTCGACGCCAATCGAGTGCGCGTATACCTACGTGCACGTTACCTGCGAACCTGAGAGGAGAATCCACCTCTGCCTTCCTGCTTGAATCTCGACTGTGCGCACCTCTACGTGATTCTGTGTGTGAGTATCTTTTGTATGTTTTATTCGTGTTCTACTGTACGATTCTTTTTTTATTCTTCCGATACGAATATCTTCGATATTGAATTCTTATTCGAGAAATAACCACAACAGAGGATAGATTCCAGAAAATTTTGATTTTTATGTAATTTTCGTTTAAAATTATGCAATGTTTTCTATCATCTAATTTAATTTTTATAATCAAATTTTATCTTTCGATAAATTTTGTAATTGATGAAGTGTGGCGCTACTGTCGTGCTATACGTTCCAATTAATTTTTGACGCACAATCAAATATAATTCAATGTATTTGAATATTTATTCATTTAAATTTTTAAATTTTTTATGATTTGTTTTTTTTTATAGAATTATTTTTTTACTAATATTATACTAATATATCTTTCTTTAATCATTTTCGCAATATTATTATTCAATTCTATTTTTTTTTTATTAAAATTCGTGTTTTCTATACGATTGTTTTTAAATTTTAAATACTATTAATTAAAATATTATTAACATTAATTGAGCAATTATATAACGTTCAATGTACGTTTCAATATAATAATTATATAACGTATAAAACATAAATATTTAAAAATCGGTGAAAAGAATATCTTTTCGTTTGTGTCTCAAGCGTTATTCGTTTAAAATGAATCGAAAGATTATCCAGAAAAGATTTCTCTATAATTATACATCTATAATTGTTGTGTAAAGAGACTATTCGCGATGCGATAAAATAGCACAAAGGAATAAGATGCAAATCGTAGATAGATCAAATTCACGACGAATACATTAAGGATTTATCTTTCAGGTGGCTCAATTTAACTGAACAACAACAGGTATACTGGTGAAGAAGACCAGACTCGTTTCCCTTCTTGTCGTATTACCATACTTGAGTAGCACGCGCGGACAGCAAACGCGGAATCCACAGCTCTGTCTCGACCTTGCTCTTGCTCTAATTGGCAGACTCTGATCTAAGGACTCGAATTTAAACGTTCGTTTAATGACAATACTGCTATTATTCTTCACGATCTCGCTTCATTCGCGGCATCTTGTTACGAGCCGTGACCGAAGTTGCTTTTTCAAACTCGATCGATAGAACGTTGTGGATTTATATTTAACAATGGCCTTTTGTCCTTCTTATTAATTTTCTGCCAGTGTGGGATGATCCAATTGAAAAGAAATAACAGCATTGCACATGGAACATGAAATTGAAATGTTATTACCGTTTCTCGATTGAAAATGTTGCATTCAGGAAAAGAATGTCGATAATAATTATTTCGCCCGATTTTCCTCCCTTTCCATCTCAAAACGCGTACATTGCATACATTTTCCATCGAATAAACAACCGATATTACACGAAATCATATTACACGTCTGCGTAGTTTCCGAACATCACTAGTCGAAAATTTCTTGTTTAATCATTTTATCGTTATAATATATCACGTCATTTCATATCTGTTTTAGTTTGCGATCGCTTTCGTTTCTGCGAACACACGTAGCTCGAACGAATACACGGAAAGTATCAGCACGGAGAACTTCCGAGCACTCGATTTTACCATTGGTAAAATGGTGTTGGTAGTTCCCATAAATGTAGAGAGAGAGAGAGACAGAGAGAGAGAAGCCAGGTTGCGCGCCCCATACAGAGCCACGCATGTGCGCCTGTTGGGAAGAGATTTCATAGTCCATGTAGTTTGGCATCAATGCGAAATCTGGGGTTGGTTTCAGACGCGCGATAAAGCCATTTCAAATTGAATAACAGATTTCTGAGCACACAACAAAATGCACTTGCCGCGAACGCTTCTGAAACCTGGAAAAGAGGGTGGAACAATGGGGCGCGTTTTCCTCTCTACTTACACTTTCTATTTGGCCTGTCTGCGAGCTCGACTGTCTACATTTTCAACAAATATACCGTTACCAGACCGATTGACTGTTTCGCTTCCATCTTGTTACATACATATCTGTACGTCATGCTAATTATACGACTAAACATTGTCATGTTCTAGACTTTAAAAAGATATCTTTCCTTTTAATTTCTTTTATGTTTCATCGTGAAAACTGCACAAAACGTTTCATTGGAATGAATCCTATATTATAGGTTGGAACTATAGTTAAAAGAGATCTGTTCTTTATTTTTTTAAAATAAAAATTCTTCATAAATATTTCTGTGAAATAATATAGTTTAATAATAATAATACTTAACTTTCAATTTTTTAAATGTTTAATTTATTCTTAAATGTTCGTGTTATTTATCAATATTAATAATACGATGGATATTATTTCACGATTCATCGAGCAATTTATCGAAATTTTCGAATATAAACTGAATTCATAAAAGATCACAATTAAATCTGCCGCGATAAAATATTTATGGAAACACTTTGAGAAAATTGAAAAGGCGAATACAAACAGATTCATTGACAGGATTATTGCGAAATATCTGATGAGTAATTAAGACGATGTGATTAACGTAACTTTAAACTTGCGTGCGATTGATATTGAACATCAAGTTGTATCTATAACCGGTTCGTTAGAGCGATGATAAAACGGGATAATTAAAAAAAAACAGCTTTTAGTTAAAGTGGTCGGTTAACTCATCGTGGTCGATCGTAAAAAATGAAAAGGGGTCAAAAAATCATGGCAATAATAAATTTTTGCCAGAAATTTTATTCCTATTTATCGAAAAATCATTTCAACTACTCTTTTTTCTCTCGTTATAATTTGATATCCGGTAAATATTTTTATACGATATCCTTTGCTATTCGATATTAACGATTCGGACGAACCATGTAAATGTTCTTTCATTTTTCGTAATTGCGTTTACCAATTCAATCCTCGTAGGTACATAGTGACGTATTGAATGTTTCAATCAGAAATATTGATTTCAATTTGGATATATTCAAAAATCGCTCATATTTAACTTCATTTAAAATTATTTACACAAACTGAATGGTCCGGGAGAGCCTTTTGTCACAAGTGGGAGGCGCGTCGATGTAATGGATAGAATCGATGCCCCGCAATTACCATTTATTCTATATTTTAATGGAACAGTATTAAAAATCATCGAGGCACGAAGAAAAGTAATTTTATAAAAATAAAAAACATACAGCGGAACCATTTTTCACCGATGATATTGGAATTATTTTAAAACTCGCCTAGAGCGTTGCACGTGATGATTTTCCTTTTAAAAAATTGCGATCGCATCGTTTCACGTTTTCTCTATATTATCTCTCGCCAACAATATATCCCGATAATTGTGTATTAATTCACGCGCTCTGATTACAAATTTTTCTCCACCGTCGGCTCCGTCCGTTCGTAACAATACCCATTATTTATTTAACATTAACGCTCGTTCATTTTACACCAAGCACGCATATAAACGATGATTTACTATCTTTATACGATATACCTTGTAGAATCGTACCGTGAGATTGGCTCAATTAATAAACCGCTTCGATGCATAATTATCTACCACTGTCAACGCTATCATGGATAATTGCGATTTTAATTGCCTTTTATGGGTCGCACGTTAACGACGTTACAAGATTACCGGGGACCAATAAATCCCAGGCCACTCGACGAGACGTTGTAAAATTCTCTCCCTGTCCCTATCCCGACAAGGATATTACCATATGTTTCGCGAACGAGCGACCGATCAGTTTGATTCACACCGTGGCGCAGTCAATCCCGTCCCGATTCCAAGTTTCACCTTTCCACCGCGTGCTTTCGGCAAAACTGATATTCCAAAACTTTTCATGGTTGACGCGTTCGAGGGGATGGAGAGCAGAGGGAAGGGAAAAGATTGGATTGACACCGGCGCGAGAGAGTTTTTACGGCGCGAGTTTCGAACCCAACCGAATCTCGAAGTCGACAAACACGCTCGACATCCGGAAAGCGGCGAGGCAAAGTTTACGCCGATCTCGTTGCGCGCGTTTCCGTAACCGGTCACGCGTCACGTGGATACCCCCGTCGAACGGATAGTTGCACAGCTTTCCACGGGTGCCAGGGCTTCGTTGTACGAAATTAGCATGGCCGTGATAGGATTGAATTTATTCATGTACGATTTGAACTAGCTGACGAGGGTAGCGCGCCTTTGTCGACCGTCCTCCAACGTTCCTTACCGGTGCTCTCTCTTATATCCCCTCGCTCCTTTCTCCTTCCGATCGGACTTCACCCTACTCTTCCTCCGTACGGCCGACTCGTGTGTCTTGCGCCCGACACGACGACACGCTGCTTCTTTGTGTTCGTGCAAAACCGCGCGGCCAATGTCGGCACGAACTGCATGCCCTCCCGCGCGTGCCACTCGTGCATTCTTTGCACCGATCGAACGTTATGCAGATCTGCTCCGGGGCTGAATTTGTGCCTGATGGCGAGGTACGAGGCAAGGTCGTGCATCAGCCGGCAGAGTGACCGAGACTCGGCGCTACGGACGCGGAGGATCCCTTCGGATTCCTGGAATGCTCCGTTCACGTTACGACACCCCCCCGGATAATATATGTATTTCGTGTCCTTGTGAGAAATTGCGACCATTTATTTTTCATCTTTCAAAAATTGTTCGTAATCGAGAGAACCATTCTCGTGTTCCGCGTTCGCGAAGAATTATTTCCCATATTTGTTTCCTCTTGTTTTGTCGATTGATAAAATTATCTTTCGTCGTTGCGAGATGAAGCATATTTGAAGCGTCTGTCGAAGAATCGAAAGAATGAGTTCAAACGATATTTATCCATCATCCTGTGGAAATTAGCTTATTCATTTATTAAGCTCAATTTATTATTACGTAATATGTATGTAATA